ACGGCGAGAAAAGAGGGGCGGCTAAATTGAGCAAGTTATCAGATTACTATTATTTTTTCATATCGATTATTATCAAAGCAATCATTTATATTATATTCTAAAAAAAAATGGCTAAAAATTTTACACCATCCCAAGTAAAAGAATTATTGGATATGTACGAAAACACTTTACTTAAAATATTTTACGAACGCTTTCAAAAGCTAGAAAACGACTTTTCGATAATAAAGGAAGAAAATAAGTATTTAAAAAAAGAATTAGAGCAAATTAATTCCACTATTCAGTTCCTAAGCGACAAATACGAAACAATGAAAGAAACATTAAACAATAATAAAAATAAAATATCCCCTCAAGACAATTTTAAACAAAAAGCAACAAATCTTGAAAACGAATATCTTAAAGACAAGATGGCAGAAGGAATCGAGGAAACTGAAGGATAAACGTGGAAAAACAGTGAGGAGAAAGTGAAAAAGCTAATAAAAGAAAAACTAAATATAAACGAGGAAATACATATAGAACGTGCGCACAGAACCGGGAAGAAAGAAGACAACGACGGTAAAATAAGAAGAAGAAGAACTATAGTAGTTCAATTTCTAGATTATAAAGATTGTGAAACTATGCTAGATAACTACAAAAAGCTGAAATTATGGAACGAAAAGATGTATATCAATGAAGATTTTAGTGAGAGAACAATCAACATTCGCAAAAAACTATTCATTATAGCCAAAGAAATTTTGCCAAAGTTGTTTATAATAAATTAATCACCAAGTCTTTCGAAAAGACTATCTGATTATCAAAAAAACAAAAACAAAAAAAAAAGGGTTTTATATATATATATATATATATATATATATATATATATATATATATATATATATATATATATATATATATATATATATATATGTAATATGTTCACATGTGTGCGTACAAATATACCAGTGTATATAAAAACCTTCAAATATTTTCAAAATAACAAAAACATACAAAATGGATTCAACTTATCGGAATGATTTAGAAAAAATATCAAATTTATTTCAAACAAATACTTTTAATTTAGACAATGAATCTGATCCAGATATTAATTATTTTAATGAGATTAATGGATCAAAATTCGAATGCTCTTACTTTTATCCAGATAAAATTAAAAGCATATTTAAAAATAATGATAATCGTGATTATTTTAATATAATCTACATTAATATCAGAAGTTTAAAAAAAAATTTTGATAACTTTTTAAATATGATTTGTCTAACGGGAAATTTTTTTAACGTTATTTGCTTGGTGTTCAGAGGAAGATTTTAAATCAAACTCTAATCTCCATCTTAAAGGTTTTAATACAGTCTTCTTAGAGCGTAATGTTAATAAGCGTGGAGGAAGAGTTCTTTTTTACATAAAAGAAAACTTTGCGTATAATATTCGAAGCGATATGAGTGTTTCTGATGATAATATTGAGATTTTAACGGTTGAAATAATAAATAAAAAATCTAAAAATATTTTACTAAGCTGCTATTATCGGCCACCAACCGGAAGAACTGAGTACCTAAGCAATTATCTAGTTCATAATATAATAGAAAAAACTAGCCAAGAAAAAAAAAAAATTATATACTGGGGGATTTCAACCTTGACGGCTTCCAGTATAATGAAAAAAAAAATATAACAAAGTTTTATAATCATTTATTTGAAACGGGAACAATACCCATTATAAATAAACCTACTAGAATTACAAAGTCTTCATCCTCCTTAATTGACAACGTTCTTACCAATGATTATTTCAATATTACACTCAAAAAAGGTATTATAAAAACCGATGTTTCGGATCACTTTCCAATTTTTTTCTGCTTAGGCGCTGACCACAAAACAAATACGAATGGTAAAATAACATTAAAAAAACGAATTTATAGCAACAATAAATTTACTACTCTGACTTGCTTATAAAACACAACCATAATTCAAGGCGGGTGTGGCAAATAATGAAAGAAATTACTAGCAAACATAAGACAAACACAAATACGATGCCGAATGCTATAAAATTTGAAAATAAGTTAATTACCGATTCAAATGAAATCGCAGCCGAATTCAATGACTTTTTTTCGTCAATAGGACATAACCTATCAAACAAGATTCCTTATGTAGACAACAACTTTGTTGATGAATTTATATCATCACCAAATTCAACTATAAATTTTTCAAATCTAACTTATAATGAATTCGAAATTGCATTTAAATCATTAAAAAGGAATAAAGCAATAGGGCCTAATGATATAAATGGAAACATTGTAATCGACTCTTTTAATGAGATTAAAGATATCCTCTTCAAAGTCTTCAAAGCATCTATTACTCGAGGATCGTTTCCAAATAGTTTGAAAATAGCCAAAGTAACTCCAATCTTTAAAACAGGTGACCATACCAACATAACAAACTATCGTCCTATCTCAGTTCTACCGGTCTTTTCAAAAATATTAGAAAGAATAATGTATAATAGAATTTACACTTATCTTATTGATAATAAACTCCTTTATAAAAATCAATTTGGTTTTCAGAGAAACAGTTCTACTGAACACGCTATTCTCCAAGTAACACGCAGTATTGCCGATTCATTTAAGAATTCTCAATTCACACTAGGCATATTCATTGACTTGTCAAAAGCTTTTGATACTGTTAATCATCATATTTTAATGAAAAAGCTAGAGAGCTATGGTATAAAAGATAAAACCCTAAATTGGTTCAAAAGCTATCTAAGTAACCGCAAACAATTTGTTTATAACAAAGAATCTTCATCGCAAATAATAAAAAATATAACATGCGGTGTCCCCCAAGGGTCCATACTTGGACCACTATTATTTCTATTATACATAAATGATCTTTACAAAGCTTCTACTCTGACGACCGTAAATTTTGCAGATGATACGAATTTATTTCAGTCGCACGAAAACATAGAAATACTTTTTAATAATATGAATAATGAATTAAAAAGAATATCATATTGGTTTAGAAAAAATAAATTGTCATTGAATACGGATAAAACAAAGTTTATACTTTTTCACCCAACCTCTAAAAAAAGAATCCAAAACATCTTACCTGACCTATTCATTGACAATACAATCATAAAAAGAGAAAAATTTACAAAATTTTTAGGAGTCATAATAGATGAAAACTTATCTTGGAGTCAGCAAATTGATAGTATTTCAATGAAAGTTGCTAAAAACATTGGAGTTCTATACAAAGCTCGATATATACTAAATAAAAAGCAACTAACTCAACTGTATTATTCATTTATTCATTGCCATATAAACTATGCCAATATTATATGGGGAAGCGCTCACAAAACCAAACTTAAATCTCTCTATCGGCATCAGAAACACGCAGCTCGCATAATTAATTTTGGAAATCGTTTTTCAAGCTCAACACCACTTCTTATAGAAATGAAAGCTTTAAATATATGCGAACTAAATATTTTTAATATTTTATGTTTTATGTTTAAATGTAAAGAAAATTTATCTCCAAGTGTATTTATAAATCTCTATAATTTGAAACCAAAAAACAAATATGAACTTCGTGATAGTAAAAATATTCAAGAGCCGTTTTGCAAAACAAAAATTGACCAGTTTTGTATTTCTTATCGTGGTCCATTTCTTTGGAATAAAATAGTTTAAATGGTCTTTTAAAAAGAAAACAAAAGAAATAATCTTCTCAACACAAAATATATTTATTTATTTTTAGTATTTCAAGTTATTTGATATTTTTGTCGACTGTGTGATGAATATTATTTAAACAATATATGCTGAATACTTTATATTATAATATTGTTCAATATTGAGAATGTTATATATTCATATTATAAAATATTATGTTAAAACTTGCTTAACATCTGAAGAACATACTAACGCTTATGTAATTTTTAATATTTGTAAATTTTCTACCTTTTAATTCGTTATATAGATTGTAAAGGGCTTCATGATAAGATCATGTGATCTTCTGGAAGTCCTACCAGTAATATATTCAATGTAATTTTACCTTGTTCATATTTTTCTGGAAAAAAAAAAAAAAAATGCTAAAAATCATTTCTTGTAATATTTATAGTCAATTTTTTAAGAGATTTTCATTACAATACTAGGAAATCCAATTTCGACACAAATTAGGACTTTTTTTGTAGCTTCAGTTGGCAAATTTGAATCTTTTTTTAGATACAGTCAGTAAAATGGTACTTGAGGTATGTCTCTCTAGTCGGCAAAATGAGGTATTGGAGGATCTTTTTTTATATATATCTTATTTAGTCGGCAAATCACTTTACGGCATCCCGCCTCCCACTTGACACCTACTCACACCAGCCCTAATCATAATAACACCTTATTTGTAAATAAAATATTCTATTTACGTTATTCCTGTTTAATCATAAGACTACTAGAAAGCTACAATAATTGCTCTCGAATGTTACTACAATATTAAAGGTTTATATTTATATAAAGGTTTATAATTGTTTATTAAATTTAACCCAATAACATGCATATGTCACATATATTTCTTTTTCTATCAAATCGATATCGCTTTTAAAATCATAAGAATTCCTGGTTTACTGATTTAAGATTTAATAAACACTGTGAAACTGTTAAAAGTTACTAGTATTATAAAACAATTCAATTAAAAACTAAACAATTCGAGTTTCATTTAAATACCTCTCTAACGTGTTTTATAAACATAACTCCAGCATATTTGGTTAAAAATAAATTTTTTATATTTACGATGATTGAAGTATATTTATAAGTTTAATGTAAATCTTTATACCAATAAAAAAAATATTTATCAATAAATGATTAGTTTATTGATTTGAAATGACTTTGTCCAATAAAACGTATTTATAAAAAAAGTATTTATTTTATAAGAACTAAAGTAAATATATTTATTTAAAATAAAAAAATTTTCTTATTAATTTTAGATGGACTCTGTCATTCAATCTTTATTCTTGGAATATTTTATCGAAACCAGACTTACTGAGGCATAAACGCTTTCATCTTGGGCATGAAAGCACAAGATGCTGGTATCGTTATGTTTGCTAACTCATTTTATGTATCGCCGACTTATGCGACCTCTACAACCAATATGGAGAGCTCTTTAAAGTTTTGTGTTTGCTTTGTTCTAATACCATTCATTTCAGGAGGTACGTCTTTATTGTCCAAGTCTGCAAAATATAAATTTAAAAGTGCTCATTTGATATGATTCCATATTTAAACCTTTTGCTAAAACGAAATCTTTGCAGAAACGTGTTTTGATTCGTTAATTGTTTTAAAATTTTACAGTTTGTTTAATAATATTTTCTTAGTTTTGCAGATTGATAATAAATATTAAAAAAAATTCTATCTTTAGAAAAAAATTTTATGTTTATGCTAACTTAGTTAACTAACTTATTTTTTTATCCTTTAATTGTGCATTATTGTAAATATTTATTTTCATTCAATTTTGCAGAACCAGTTCAGAAGCTAACTATTCCTTCAGACACTCAACCTGCTTGCCGTAAGAATGATATCTTTCATAGTGACGTTATACAGGACCATTCTTTAAAAAGAACTATCAGCCAAAAAAATTATACATTTCTCGGTAAGGTTCCAACAATGGGAGATTGTATGGCTTTGTGTTGCAGTATGAAAAGGTGCAACATTGCATACATGAAAAATGACACGTGTTATGGTGTAACGTGCTTTGATCAAGAAAAATGTGGAGTTGAAAATGGAACGTCTCCAATTGATCAAGGCACTCAATTAGCGTTGATTATTCGTAACGAAACAAATAGAAGAGGTAAAGACAGAACTTATTTTGTATTACAGATCTAAGTAATAAATAAAAAAAAAAACATTTTAAAATTTTTTGTTACGTTTTTTACGTAGTTTACGTAACTGCTTATCTGGTGGTGGTCATGTGTGCGTTTGGGGCAGCTTTGTCAGGGACAGTTTGGGCTGTGTTTGTTTTTTACAAAAGGTGATTACAATTAGATTTGTTGACAAGACGTTGTTGGCAATATTTTTAACATTATCAAGTTAATGAGGTTGCATCCGAATTATTAAATTATGTTATATACATTTATAGGTACTCATTTACACCAAATGTAAAAAAGAAATCTAATTTACACGAAGAAGAAGGAAAAGAAGCGGAAGAACCTTTGCTGCAGGTATATTAACAATAAAATAGGTTTTATAAATACATACGTGTCAATCCTTTTTGAACATCAAACCCATTTAAATATAGTAAATATATAAGAAGCATATTTCCAAGATTTTGCTACTTCCGTGTTGATTCTTAACTTAAACGTAAAATGTAAAAAATTTTGAAGATTAATTAATTTGAATATATTAAATATATAATTAAGATAGTTATAAGATTTTGCTCCCTCAAAGTTTATTCCAAACTTTTTATGTAAAACCTTTTTTTGTAGGTTTTTACTTGAAGGGCTCATAAGAGCAGTGCCAGTTCAATGATTTTTTATATTCAAGATAAATAGTTTATTTGCGTTTAGCTTTAAATTTAAGAATATTCTGACGTAAAAAAAATGTATAGCAAAAAATACCAGTGATTGGGATCTGGTAACAAAACAATCTTAAATATCTAGAAAGATTATAGAAAATTGAACTGTGTTCAAAAATTATGTCTGATAAATTGTCAAATATTTTTATTTGGGCTGGAACATTTTTAATTGACTTAACCCCACCTCACTCCACCCTATTCATAAAAAAATGCCGTAACGTTGAATCTATAATTGTTTTATCCCATACCCTACGTGTGCAAATATGAATGACGCTTTTGTTTCCATTAAATATAAACTCAAAAAAAAAAGTTGTTTCATAAGTCTGGAATTTATTTCATAATAATTTTAAATCAAAAAAAAATAAATAAATAAATAAAATATTGATAAATAAAATGTTAGCATAACAAACTGGATTGGACACTAATAAAACTAATATGTGATATACAGCTTTTACGGTTACACAACTATTGATTGCAATAAATTTTTTGATTGCTGTAAATTTACAGCATTCTAATTCTTTTTTTTTTCTTTCTACTTTTTGTGTATTGAAATTCGTTTATTTAAAGAACTTATTGTGTCTCTTCAATTTTTTTTTCATTTCAGTCGAAATAGAGGATGCACTACTAGACTCAGACTCCTTGGACTGATATCGGTTCGTGTGAAGTAATTGTTTAAACAAACATATTAACAATAGACATTGCGAGGTTGCGTCACGATACATGTTTAAATTATGGTCGGTTTTTTACTCTCAGTATTTGTATATAGACGAAATATTATTTTTTACTTGTTTGTTTTTTTCACCCATTCAATTTACAAAAAACAAATATAAATGTTTGCGAAAGAAAACATGCTTTAACAAGTCCGTGAGGTGTTATATTATGTAAGTAGTTATTTGATAACGACGGAATTAAGAAATTAAACCAATAAAATGTTGAATTAAAATGTACTTATTTTCAAGTATATTTAAATAGACTTTTCTTAAAAAGTTAAAATAGTTTTTAATTCAAAAAAAGACCTTCGAATTTTTTTAATACGTGTTTAAAATTAATATTTTTTTAATACGTATTTAATAACTAATTATTCATCTTCATTCAAATCTCTCCATTTGACAAATATCTTTTTTTTGTTGTTGTTGAAATTCCTGAAATAATATTCTAATAACCAAATTACGAATAAGTTTTCTCAATTTCATGAAAAAATTACAAAATTTTGTAAGCTATTTTTAGCAAAATATTTTTTTTTTTTTTTTTTATTAAGGCTTAATTATTGAAGGTAACTATTTATTCACTTTATGAGTCAATTTATTTATTAAGTAAGTTATTTTGAATTTGTTCTAGAAAAATTGACTTAATTTCATCTTTTATACAGGTAAAATAAATCTTAAAAAAATGTATTTTTGGTGGACATTTGATTTGACTACCAGCAACACAATCTGTTTTCTACTTGAAAACAAAGTTTATGACATTCATGAAAAACTTCATGCATTGCTACCAGAGGCGATTTAACGGGGATATTTCACCTCTCCTCCCCCCTCCTCCCCCCAAAGAGGGCGATTTTCAAGTTATGTTTGGTTTTTTTACGAATTTAGTTGGCTAGTCGGGTAATTGACACAATTCAGTCAGGTAAATTTTAGTTTTAAGGGACTTTTTTTTTTTTCAGAAGCCAGTTGGTACCTTTTAAGGATTCACCCCCCCCTCCTTTTATTTTATTTGTAGAACCGCTTCTGATTGCTATTAATATTACATAAACGTCTTTAATTTTAAGATAAGTATTTTTTAAACTCCTAATATATATTTTTGACCATACTTTATTAAGTTAAAAACTTTTTCATTTGTTTAACTTTTGAGCCATCCATATTTTATTTTAGCATTCGTATTGGATGTTTGATGCTAACAGTAAACATAACGTAACTCCAACCTAATGACAGATGTTTAATTATAACAATACAATACATAAGCTAAGTAATACGTTATGAAATAAATACAACTGTTCCAAGGCAATTCACCTATTCATTAGTTGTACACCAATAAATAATTAGAAATATGTGATGCTCCACAATAAATCAAGACTTACTCCTAATTTATTAATTGACTTAAAATGGCATTTCGTAAATTAGACACATCCGAGCGCAATATACCACGTAGTTATTAATCGCGCTGTTAAAAACACGCGTAGACAACCGCGCATCTTGAAAATCTCAATTTGTGCAATAGATAACATAAAAACAGAGTAAATACAATCTAAAAATCGTACAAAAAATTTGAATAGATATTCAATCTGAAACGATGTTCTAAAACAACATAAAATTTAAATTTTTCAAACACAAGCAGAGTACTGTTTTTTCGGTGTTAAAAAGTCTATTTAGATAACAAAAACTTTAAAATTCTAATCCAACCCAAACTCTGCTCATTTGTCATAACCCAAACTCATTAAGATTAGCAGAAATAAACAAAAAATTAATTTCAAGATGATGATCAAAGATGTCTGCTTTGTAAATTGCCTTGATCCAATAGTCCTATATATTGTTTGTGCTAAATTTAGTCAGAATTTAACAAAAGGTATAAGAATGCATAAAAAAAGTATATATATATATATATATATATATATATATATATATATATATATATATATATATATATATATATATATATATATATATATATATCCTTATAGTGTAGTCGAAAGAGACTTTTATGGTAAAAAAAGTCTTATTCGACTTCAACTTTTATTACCTCGTCTCTTGATTGTCATCGAAATGTCAAAGCAATTAAAGTAATGCGGAAGTACATTAAATTTTATTGTTTTTTAAAAATACCGCAATAATAATGACTAGAAAGTTTTTTTCTAATTAGTGGTGTTTTTGTTTTTGTTTTATTAAAAAACATTTTTAAAACATGCGTAAGTGTTGCTACATCGACTATCTTATAGTCTGCTGGTACAAGGGAGTGTTACTACATCGACTATCTTATAGCCTGACTCGCAACGGAGTGCTGCTACATCGGCTGACAAATAGCCTGACTCAAAAGAGAGTGCTACAACATCGACTGAGGGTTTGGTTTGGGCAGGCAGTCTATCATTAAAAAAAAAAAAATTTTTTTGAAATTTTTTAACATTTTCTGGTCAGGCTTATTAACGCGCTCTTTAAAACAACAGTTTATGGGAAAAACTTTGCGACTATCATGCAAGACTATATATATATATATATATATATATATATATATATATATATATATATATATATATATATATATATATATATATATATATATATATATATATATATATATATATATATATAGGGCCGCCGAGAGCCGTCACGCCGCCTAAGACAGCAATCCTGATTGGCGCCCATATTTATCAAAGTTTTCGCTATATTATAGATGAAGGACTTTTTTTTTTTTTTAGGTACCTCCTTTCATTTGGCGCCCCTAACTTATCTGTGGTCCAGACAAACTGTCCCTCTAGCCCCCCTTCCTCTTGGCGGCACTGTAGTTAAAGCAGATTTTTATTAATATATAAATTTGACAACTATCTACAAGTTCTATATATATATATATATATATATATATATATATATATATATATATATATATATATATATATATATATATATATATATATATATATATATATATATATATATATATATATATATATATATATATATATATATATATTGTTTTAAGAAAACAATAAGATTTGTCTTGATATTTCTGAAAATTACAACAGGATTTATTTTGGTGTTTCTGCGAAAAATAATCATATGAATCAGAGGAAATAGTATCTCCTCTTATCCATTTGTTGTCATCATATTATTGTATTATATCGTGGGTTGCTATAAGCAACGACAATCAATTGCCATTGGAAGCTAAATCTTTTAATGACAATGCGTACAAGCAACTAATATTTTAGTTGCCTAATATAATATATTATATAGTACTCATGGAGAATATAGTTTTAGTTATTAACACGATAAATACTTTTTAATAATTTAGAATCTAATGCTTGTATAAAAAAAAAGAAGAAAAAGAAGAATATATGCAGTTTTTTTTTGAAAATGAATATACTGCCTCCACAAAAAAAAATTTTACCTTGAGAATGGTATAAATCATACATTGAATATAGTAAAACCTTTTTTTATTTAATTGCAAATAAAACAAACGATAATAAATAACACAGTATTAATTCTAATAAAAATAGTTATATATATATATAAAATAACTAGTTTTAAATAAACCAAGTTTATACGATTTGAATGATTAACGTGAATTGTTGAAATTTAATTTTAAGAACTTTAAAGAGTAGTTTTTATTTTTTAAACTATTCTCAGGAAACAATGTATATATTATTATGTACCAAAGTATTTTAATTAATAAATTAAAGATTATCTAATTTTAAAAATGATTAAAAAATATTCGGTTATAAATTAAGCCTAATTGTGTCGCGGGGCTTAGTATTGTATTTTTATTCAAATTATCTGTCTGTTAAAATAATCTAAACATAACTGCATGCGTCAACAATAAAATGTTAAAGTGAATTTCATTGTTGATGAAACAATAGTTTTTTATTTGCGGTTTAATTTGAGCCTTCTTTATACTTAAATGATATCCCTAACAAAATAAACGCTTTTACGAAGTTTTTAACATTACGGACAATCACTTAAACAGCCCTGTTTTTGGTACCTAATATTTATTATATTTTCTACTAACCTAGAAGCAGAAATTTATGCAGCAACTCCTATGCAGCAAACAAATATTGTTATCTCCGATAACCGCTAAAAAAAGTATACTTATTATTTGGTCTTGATAAAAAAAAAAAAGTATTGAAGTATAAACATTAATCTAAAAAATTCAACATTAGTTGCAACTATATTTAAAATATACAAGTTTAAGAATTTATACAATAATGAACTGGATAAAATTAAAATACTATTATTTTATTATAAATTAATAGTAGCATATAGAAATTTTATTGAACTACAAATATGATATGATAAACAAATATTTTTTCAAAAAACTAATTTACCATATAACAAAAAAAAAAATTTTTTAAGTTATTACAACCGACTGCATCATTACAATATTTTAAATGGTGGTCGATTTCTCTCTAAAGCGCCATCCATACATGTTTACAGTAAATAGAGGGGAGATGGGGTCGAAAAACCTGGAAAAATTACTGACATCATTAATTATCATCAGATATTATCAAAAATTACGTTATATCATTTATTATCATTATAAGATACACAAATTAGCATTTCACTTAATTTCTTGGGTCAGGGCCGACGACACGGGTTTTAAAGCGGAGGGGAACAATCATAAACTTCTAAAAAAGGTCCTTTATATCTAGAAATTTCTAATGAAAATGGGCCCTGAAGGTAGTGCTTAGGAACTCTAAAAAAAAAAATCATTAACTCAACATTTCGAATTGAATACCGACCAAATATATTATCGGTCAAGATAAAATTACCCACTATGTTTTATTTGTTTGCAAACTACATACAAATCGCTGACCTGGACAAATTATAATAACTTATTATTAGACTTTTTTATTTTATTTTTAATTAAAAAAATATATAAATAAATGTTATTAGTAAATTTATTTGTTTTATTATAAATAACTATAAGAATTGTTTAATATATAAAAAAAGTTTAAAAATATATTTATAGTCATGATTTTGTATATTTTTTGTTTTACTTGAAGTTTATTGATTAGTTCAAATTTGAAGGTGTCAATTTGTCAAAAAATATAAATAAAAGTTCTAATGATTTTTTTGAAAAAGTATATATCTATGAGCTTTCTAAACTTCCTCAAGAAATGAAGGAACAGAAGGAGTCTATTTCTTTAACTAATTGCTGTTTAAAAAGTGACAAGCCCGAAACAATATCGATTACTACAGATTGCAAAGATGCATACATAGTTGAAGAAACAAGTCTTATAATCAATGGAGCTTCTATTTTTCAAGGACCAACCGTTAATATTGATATTGAATTTCAAGATTTAACCTATGAAGTAAAAGTAAAAAAACACGGTGAGTTGTTTTGTTATATAATTAAAGAAATTATTTTCTTAAAAATCTTATAAAAAGTTTTCCACTTTTTTTTATTGAAAACCTTTGAAAAAAAAAAAAAGGCCACAAAAGTTTAAGTTTTTATTTATACATCTTGTTTAAGCAGGTGTATAACTAAAATTATAATGAGGATTCTTTATTGTTATTTTAGAATGATTTTAATATTAGCCATTCCACAGAACTTTTTTTCGTCAACATATATATGATTAAAATAGTTGTATAGAGCTTAAAAAAACTTAAAAAATGAGGGGTCTTTCAACTTCAGAAGTTAAGTGAATATGAAGTTATTGCTTTTTTTGTGCTGGAAAAACTGATGATTTTTTTAACAAAACACCTTGTAATTAAGTATGGAAAATTTGCTCCAAAATAAAATGAAAAAAGCATAAAAAATCAAGCACAAAAAGTTAAAACAAACAAAACGCAAAGTAAAAAAACAATATATATAATTTCTAAACAAAGTTTCTAGTACAATTTCTTCAAGAAAACATAAATAAATACTTAGTTTGAATAGAGAAAAGGCTATACTTTTTTTTTTCAGGGGTACCTTTTTTTAAAAAACTGTTTTTTTTTAATAAATTGAACTTAGAGTTTTTAAACACAGAGAACTAAGAAATTATGTATAAAGGTTATATACTATGTAATAAATAAACGTTAAAAAGGCTCCACATTATATTAGATTCCTTTTTCAAATCTATATGGTAATTTTCAAACAAATTTAATGTGTTTTGGTTCTTAGGAATCCTTACCTTCAAAAACTTCTTTTGAAAAAACATTCCTACTGCAAGTTTTTTTATCAATACTGGTCGTAAGACATAAATAATATATAAGAGAATCGATTAAAACTTAGTACTTTCTATATATGATTAGAAAGAAGTTTAGTCAAACTAATTGGTGCAAAAAACCTCAAATTCTAGCTTAATTATAAAAATTCAGAACAATTGTATTATAAATCAAATAGAAAGAGAGTGAAATTAATCGGGTTCCGATTATCTGTATTCCCTATTCATTTATTAATACACTTATGTTTTCACTGTAGGTGTATTGCATATGCATATAAATATATATATATATATATATATATATATATATATATATATATATATATATATATATATATATATATATATATATATATATATATTTTTAATTTTATTTTTTTAGAAAAAAAAATAATTCTTAAGAATCTAAATGGTGTGTTTAAGAGTGGCGAGCTTGTCGCTGTATTAGGTCCTTCAGGTAATTTTTATACTTATCTAAGATTAATTTTTTATAGCAAATAAGCAAATAAAGATTATTAAAAATGCTATTTGTTTAATATATTTTAAAATAACAGTAATTTAAATATAATAAAGGTGCTGGAAAGTCTTCATTGCTAAATATACTTGCAGGCTACAGGTAAATTATTTTTCTATAATAGTATACCACTTATCATACAACATAATTTAACATAATAGTATACACAATAATAGTTGTACTATGGTAGTAGTTGTACCACAGTTATAAAATGATAACAGCTGTGCTATATATGGCATAATTTTATGACATATGATAATGTAGTAAATAAATTCAATATTGATTATAAATTATGTTACATTGTGAATTTGACAAAATATGTATATGTAATGGGAATAGTTATAAATCCATATTTTTAAACATTATACTTTGGAATTCGTCTATAAAATAAGTTATTGACTAATTGTTTTATCAAAATAAATGACAAAATTATGAGAAAATAAATTTTAGCTCAAATGACGGTGGTGTTATTGGAGGGAAAATCCTTGTCAATGGAATTGAACGTAACTTAAGAAGATTCCGAAAGCTTTCTTGTTATATTATGCAAGATGATGTTTTAATGCCAAATTTAACTGTTATAGAATCTATGATGGTAGGTTTTGTATTGTGGTGTTCAGTAATAGTAATGTTATTTTTTAAGAAATGTTGTGAATAATGAATGTTAGAATCCATTTTATTACTTACATTTTTTTTTTTTTTTTTTGGTTTCTATTTTGTAGTCATGTTTCATCATGGGTGTCCAGTTTATTGTCTTAAATTTTGAACAAATATTTTAAAATCTCTGTATTGATGTTTGTTTTATAATATGTTTTTTTTTTTCTGAATCTCTCACTGTTATAAAATTGTTTATTTAATTTTTTTATCATCATAATTGCCTCATTGTTCCAAAATTTTATATTGGGCTTCTAATGTTACTGTATTCTATATTGAAATTTATTGAATATGTTTATAATTTTATACTTTATAATAAATAATATGAAATATAATGATTAAGTATTAAGTAAATATTTATAAACTGAAATTTTAACTAGGTGTCAGCAAATCTTCATTTAAAGTCTATATTAGGATATAAAGAGAAAAGACGAGTTGTGAGTTTTTTTTAATTAGAATATTAAAATAAGTTTATTAATTTTTTGTTTTATTAGAATATTCAATTTTATTTTATATTTTATAATTTGACTTATAATATTATTATATATATTTCAGGCAAATCTGTTTTAAAATGATAAAAAATTGCTTAAAGTTTTTAATTATCTTTAAAGGTTGAGGATATTTTGTCAATTTTTGGTTTATCACATATTTGCAATACCTACATGAGTGAAATATCTGGTGGTCAGCGAAAAAGATTAGCAATTGCTTTGGAGCTTGTCAACAATCCTCCTGTGATCTTTTTAGATGAGCCTACCAGGTTAAAAAGACTATATATATATATATATATATATATATATATATATATATATATATATATATATATATATATATATATATATATATATATATATATATATATATATATATATATTTATATACATATACATATACATATATATATATATATATATATATATATATATATATATATATATATATATATATATATATATATATAAATATATATATATATATATATATATATATATATATATATATATATATATACATATATATATATATAAATCAGGCCTTGTTTTAAAGCGTAAACTGGCATGCCATTTATGTACGTTGTAAGCCATTTTTATCTTTTCTTGATGTTTAAACAAGCGATAAGATAAAAGAAGTAATTAATGTTATAAAAACCACTTGGGCAATTCCATGTGAAAGCATCCAATTTTTTTTGTAAATGCAACTCTTAATGCAAGTCTTAGATTTTGCTGAAATTTACTCCACTGAAAAATTTTAATAATTTATAAACATTTCCAAAATTTTATCAACTATTTCCAAACAGTTTCAAAGATATGACTCTTTAAACTTTGCCTTGAACCAACAAAAATCTGCCATTTTGAAAAATGGTTTTGATCATTGTTTCTGTTCTGTGTGCAACAGAAAGCTGTAAATATGTACACTTACATATTTTGAGGCAAGGAATCCAATAAAACAACTTATAATATTTAAAAATAAACAAAACACCTGTAATTTTGACCTTTAATGCATTTTTAATGGGGTGAGTTTAGTTACAAAAATGCTGATGTAGCTCAATTTTTTTAGTTTTTATTTCAGATGTTGTCCTGAATAGTTTAGTTAGAGTTATTACAAAGAATTGGAGAGTGATCTTTTCTTAAACAGAAAAAAAAAATACAGTCAAATTTACTTAAATTTGTTACTTAAAAAACAGGAATTATAAAAAATGAAAGGAAAAAAAAGTTGGTTTAAATGATTAATACACAGCAGTTAATGTTTAATAATTTTCAAAAAATTTTCCACCGACCCTGAGATCCTCTCCTCCTATTTATTGAATTTTATTCAGGGATGTGGGGTCCCAAAAAAGACTCTGGTTTGAAAGTCACAAAAAGATTACTTCCTAGTTTTTAGTATTCATGAGCTCTAAAAATATAAAAAAGCTTATGGACTACTAATGGGAAAAAAACTTTTAGTTTTTGAACCCGCAGTATTTAGGTATAATGCTATTAAGGACTCCAGGCTTAAAAACAATAACTTCCAAGCTATTAAATCTTATGAATTTTTTTTCTTTTTGCAAATCATCCAACTAAAATGTTAATAGCTTCTGGACACCAGATGCCAGTAAAAAAAAAGATCTTAAAAATAAAAACAAAAAATAATTTTTATTTATTATTTTCTAATTTAATTGCTTTAATGCCTGCTGAATAAATTTTTTTTTCAGTAGGCAATAAAGCAATTAGTGCAGTAGCTTTAATTTATGACTAAATTAGTTTTTATAATATTTGTTTTTATAATATTTTAATTTATGACTAAATTAGTTTTTATAATATTTGTAATAATCATCACAATTTCAATTATTTTATCCAGTTAATTCATATTACAGAACTGTTTAAACAGTTATTTTTGTCATAAATCTTTTAATAAGTTTGTTATTTTTAGTGGTTTGGACAGTTCGTCAGCATTTCAATGTATCAGCTTGTTAAAATCTCTTGCTCAAGGTGGAAGGACAGTGATCTGCACAATTCATCAACCCAGCGCAAAACTTTTTGAAATGTTTGATAAGGTGTTTATAAGTTATTATATGATTGGTTGCAACATGAAACATCACTAATAATGTCATACTAAAATAACTATCTAGGGTTGGGGGTAGGCAACATACATTGTAGTATATAATACATACACAGTATATACATTGACTGTTTGAGCTGGTACAATCTACAGACTGCTATTCAGCAAAAAAAATTTGTTTTTATTCTTTTTTTTCTTTATTTAAAAAAGTGTTTTGCTAAACTTTGAAAACTTAATTTTAAAATCTTTCATAAAAGCAATAGCATAGAAAAATAATATGATAATATAATGTTGTTTTCCTGTTATATTATTGTTATTGTTATAAAAATATAGCTTTTAATAATTGAGAAAAGTACTTTTTTTTAGAAACTAAGTAATTAATTTTAAATTTGAATTCATTTTAAATGAAGTTGAATTGTACAAATTTAATGATTTTACAAATAATTTTATATATATATATATTTTTTTTTATTTATTCAATGTGATAATTAAAAAACTTTTTTTAAAATGACCTTAAATATTTTTTAGATTACATCATAGTTCTAACATCGTAAAAAATAGTTTATAAACAATAATTAAGTGCAATAAAAAGCAAATAAGATATAGGTGTGGTTTTTATAAATAACTTTAAAAGAATCCCAAACCTCCGAGACATTTTGTGTTTATATTAAAGAGAATGATAAAAAAAATATTTAGGCTAAATTTTTTTGATTAAAGCAAAAGAATAAATGCATACTAAGAAAAACTAACTTTTTTATTTTAGTCGAAACTCAGCTTCTCCGTTTTGTTGTAGGCCTAAAAGTCAGCATAATATACGCCACAATCTACATACATTAAAAAAAGATAGTAATCAAGAAAATAAAATAAATTATAAACAACGAGTACGTAGATCAATATGGTAAATGTTCGAAAAGGAGAATTTGATATGTTCAAAGAAGAAACTAACAAAAAGATTCTAGCACTGGAAGATTTAGTAAAAAAATTAACTAAAAATCTTGACTTAAAAAAGTAATTGAAGTTCTTAGAGGATAATCAAGCTCAAATTATTAGCAAAAATACTCAACTTAACCACAAACCACTTTTTAGTAGCTTATTTCATAACAAATTTCTTAAACCAGAAGAAACAAGAATATTAACTGAGATTTCAGCTGAAAATATAGAAAAATCTAGAAGGGAATACAATTTAATTCTATACAGTCTTGATGAATTAAATAAATCAACTGAAGAAAATATACAACATGAAAATGAGCAAATAAAAAAGATCTTTAATTATTTGAAGATCATGAATAATTTATTAAACGACACCACTGCCTAAAATCAAAAAGCGATAAACCTGGTATTGTAATAGTAGAATTAAATAATAAAAAAAAAGTTGCAGACATTTTAAAGTCAGCAAGCAATTTGAAATATAATGTCGAATATAAAAATAAAGTAAATATAAATCAGGATTTAACAATAGCACAACGTGAAAGTAGAAAATTGCTTCTAAAAGAAAGAGATCGTTTAAATAATGCTGATAATGACCAGCCCTTTTGGTATATTGTCAAAAATGAGTCAATTGTCAAAGTCAAGAAAAGTGAAAAAGCTAAAAATTAATTCATTATCTAGTGTAAATAAAAACAAATCTGACAGTATTTCCCCATTCAATAAAAAATTTAAATATCTTAAGTTTTGGTATACAAACTCTATGTCTTAAGTAAATAAAATAGCAGAGTTTGAAAAAAAATTATGATCGGTTAACCAGATATCATACTTATTTCTGAAACATGGTTCAAAAATGATTCAATTATTAATATTAACAACTACAACTGCTTTTACAATAATAGAACAAATAAACAAGGTGTAGGTGTTGCAATTTACAAAATATGATATAATTGCTTATGAAGTATCAGTTTCATCTTTATATAAAGAAGTTGAACAAATATGGTGTAGCATTGTACTTCATAAAACAAAAATATTAGTTGGATGTATATACAGAGTACCAAACAGTACTGATCTAATAAATAATGCAATTAATGAATTATTAAAAACTGCAAAAAAGGAAGTAATAAATGGAAAATATGCAAATGTAATGACTGTTGGTGATTTTAATTAACTAAATATTATTTGGAATGAAGATGGAACTATTTAGCTAAAACAAAACTGCCAAACAAGCAGAGCATTTATTAATAATTTGCAAAACAATTATTTACATCAAATAAGTAGCAAACCAACTTTTCAAATGGCTGTTGATAAACCAACAAATATATTAGATTTAATAATATGTGACAATCTAGATTTAGTAATCAACATTGAATATGATGCTCCACTTGATCAAATTACTAAAAGTCATTACATATTAAAATGGGAAATTAACATACTCAATTCATGTGAGAAAAAATCAACAATAAGAGATTTAACTTTTGAAAAAGAAAGTACAAAGAAATGAATCACATGTTTTGTAAAGTAAATTAGGTTGAAATCTTTGATAAAATGAGTACAAATCAATGTTATGAATACTTTTTAAAAATTTATGAAAAAGCTTGCAAACAATATATTCCTTACTACTCCAAACCCACTAGTTCTTTCCAAAATCCGTGCATTAATAAAAAAAATCAAGAATCTAATTAGAAAAAAACGTTTTTTATGGTGCAGAGTGCGTGCTACAAACTTCAAGAATACAAACTTAAATAATGAATACAAACTAATCAATAAAATAATTGAAAAACAACATAAAAAATCTACTCTTGATTACGAAATAAACTTAGCAAAAGATGTAAAACATAACCCAAAACGCTTCTATGCATATGCACAAAGAAAAAATTAAACACATACAAAACTAGCACTTACAACTAGTGACAATAAAATAATAACCGATAAAAAAGTCATTGCTAATCTACTAAATTTTAGTTTCCAATCAGTATTTGTCAAAGAAAATGAAGATTTACCACATTTCAGCAATAAAACAAGTCAATTATTTGAATATGACTGGGACCAAGAACTAAAAGAAGATATTATACTTAATTATTTATTAGAACTTAATGAAAACAAGTCACTTGGTTGCAATAACATCAGTCCCTATATGCTAAAGCATTGTGCAGAAGGATTATCCAAACCTTTGTCTTTAATATTCAAAAAATGGATTCATTCAGGAGAGCTGCCAGAATTATGGAAATCTGCAAACATTACACCACTTTTTAAAAAAGGAGACAAAAAGGACCCACTCAACTACAGACCTATCTCTTTAACATCGAAAAAATAATTAGAATAAAGCTGATAATTTTTATAACAGAAAACAATCTGTTAACGTCTCAACAACATTATTACCTATTAGAAACTTTAGATATTATTACAACTGAAATTGAAAAGGATTATCCAGTTGCTATATTGTTCCTAGATTTTGCAAAGGCGTTCGATAAGGTGCCCCACTATCAACTTACACATAAAATTTTTAACTATGGCATAAAAGGCATTGTTTTAAATTGGATTGGTTCTATTTTAAAAAACAGAAAACAAAGAGTGATAATGGGTGAAGTTGTATCAGATTGGTGTGAGGTTTATAGTGGTGTGCCACAGGACTCTGTATTGGGTCCTCTTCTTTTTCTGTTATATATCAATGATATTCCCCAATGTATCTCATCAATTGCAAAACTATACGCTATGATACTAAAATCATATCTGTTATAAAAGAACAATTAATATGCAAAATGACATTGGTTTGTTAGCTGAATGGTCAAATGTATGGTTAATGGACTTTAACATAAGTAAATGCAGTGTTATGCACATTGGAAGAAAAAATATTAATTATAACTACACTATGAAGCACAACAATCAAACAACAACAAAAGAACTAGACTTAGGTGTAATAGTTTCATCCAATATGAAATGGAATCATCAGGTTCAAGTAGCTACAAGTAAAGCACAAAGAATCTTATGTTTAATAAGAAAAAGCTTTACTTATCTTAACACTGAAATGGTAAGGCATTTATACACATTGCTGGTTAGACCACACCTATAATTTGCAGCTCCAGTGTGGAGTCCAAGTAATAAAAATAATATCAATGACCTAGAAAAGACAAGCAACAAAGCTAGCACCAGAACTAAGTTATACTGAAAGATTGACAAAGTTGGGCCTCACAACTCTGGAAACAAGACGTACTAGAGGTGATCTCATTGTGTTTTTCAAATTAACAACTGGGATTAATAAGATATTGTGGTATAAAGAGCTTAATAAAGCTTCTTCCCAAAGTCTAAGCGGTCATCCAATGAAATTTAAAAGAGAATTTGCAAAAACAACCCTGAGACATAATTTTTTTAACGAAGAGTGATACATTGCAATACTTTACCTGAAAAAGTGGTTGCTGCAATGACAGTAAATTCTTTTAAAGCTAGACTAGATAAACATTTTTTAACAGCTGTTAAAGTATAAATTTTAAACTTTATGCTCCGCGACAATAGTCGTTATAGCAGTTTATTACTATTACTATTACTATAATCTACAGGCTTGATAATTTATTCAAGCGCGTTTTATTTCTAAAAAATTTAGTACCTGATGTCATTGACTTTTTTGTTTGTTTACATAATCTTTTATGTACTAAAACTCTTAGGAATGAAACATGCTTGAATAAATTATCATATCTGTAGATTGCAATGTATATTATGCTGACTTTTAGGCCTACAACAAAACAGAGAAGCTAAACTTCAACTATTATAAAAATTTATTCTTTTGTTTTAATCAAAAAGATTTAGCCTAAACATTTTTTTTTGATCAATTTCTTTTATATGAACACAACATGTCTTAGAGGTTTGAGATCCCTTCAAATGAAAATAACAACTATTTGCAAGAGCCTCTAAACTATGTTCTTGGAATGATTAGATATCCATTTATGAATTTTGACCCAAAGTTTCTAAAAGTTTTCTACTGAGTCTATATTAGACCTCTTAGGTTTAAGTTTTCTGTTTTAGTATTTATTTAGAAAAGCTGATATAACAATATAAGAACAGACTCAATACACCATAACAAGTATGATTCCTATTTTTTAAAATTACAAATATGAAAAAGGGCTAAAAATATATAGAATTGAAAAAAAAAATAAGAGAAGATTTGATTCAGTTATTCAAAATTTTTAATGATATAAATGTGTTTGATTGTATAATAAATCAGTTTACAAAACAAAAATTTATTATGAATGGGGCAGCAAATGATTGAAATAATTTACATAATAAAATTTGATTTCAACAATTGAATTTAAAAAAAAATTAGACAAATTCTTAATAATTTGTTTTAATTTTTATGAAATGGCTGTCATAGTGTTATTTAACATGTATATAACCAGTTTAAGCAAATATAATAGTAAATAAAATCAACTAAGTTAATAAACTTTTTTTACTTATTTACTTTTTGCTTATTATTTATCACTAAAGATTAACTTTGCATTAAAACTAAAAAACCTAGATTAACCATAGATTAATGTTTATATAAAATAGCTGTCATAGTGTTTTTTATTTCAATTCACCTCCTCAAGGCCGAGAAGGCCACTACAGACGAGGAGGCTACTTATTTGTGGCTATAACCCTCTCTCAACTCTATAACTCCGAAACACAAACCTTGACGAACAAGGCCGCTGCGCGGAGAAACGAGTTGAGCGCGGTACTACCAGGGACGTGGTGGGGATCGAACTCGGAACCACTCGTTTATGAAACGAGCGCTCTACCACTACACCACTACCGCATTTAAATAGAATGATAATGGTATGAGTAGCAATAAAATGACTTTTAATAAAAATTGTTGATATTACCTCGTAGAACCCTCATGTATCCCCCATTGCAAAAATAGAGGCCAAAGAAAAAAGAAAAGAAATCAAAACTGTAATAAATTCTGAATTAGTGGATCTAGAGTTTGGTGTGGTTGCATTTCTGTACTAATATTTGTAAAATTATAAAGAGTCATTTTGATTCTATAAACTTTGACCTATGAGGTAAAAATTTCACTCATTTAAACATTCAAATTCATTTATTATTTTTCTGCAGACAAAATTTCAAAATTTGTATCACAGGTGACCTTGATGTGTAAGCTATCACACCAGGGTGGCCGCTGGTCATGGAAATCATGGAAATGTCATGGAAGTTTATTTGGTCATAATAAAAGTCATGGAGTTCTCTATTTTCTTTGAAAGTCATAGAATATTCGTAGAGCTTTTTAAAATGATTTTTATTATTCTCTACTAGTGATATTTTTAAGATTACAAAAAAAAGTTCTAGTATGTCTAATTTAAGACCTTTCTGATAAAAATATAAAAATATTTTTTCAGATATAATTTTGGATCTTTCTAGCAATTAGTTTTTGGTCTGCATGTTTTTTAGTGACCATGTGGGAATTCTTAAGCGCAAGAAAAACGCTGGATATTTTACTCTAGTAATTTATCATAGAAAGATATGAAGAGTCATGGAGAAGTCATGGAATTTAATTTTCAAATTTGTGGCCACCCTTCATTTAGGTGGCGCTCTCAGGCAGCTAGGTTAGTGCTATCAGGCTTTGTGATAACTGTGTAACAATATGCTTAATACTATCAACAAAATTGAATTAAAAGTATGTTAGTTTCAAAAGCTGCAAAATTATGTGTAAATATATGTTTATTTTTTGTAAAAAAAAACATGAAATTTTTTAATAGCCTATAAATTTGATCAATTTGGTTATTGCTATAGATTTGGATTATTGGTTGTGATATTAAAAAATACCTGTCTGCTTAGTAATTGGTTGAATTGATTCCATGAAATTAATGAAAGTATAATAACCCCAAATTGCTTTTTTGAAGTTGGTAAGGTTTAATTTTATGTTTTAACAGCCTTTTGAATATGTAAACCTCATTGAAAGTGCAACTTTTTAAGGCATTGTGGTAAAAATAGTTAAATTTGTTTAGAATTTCCTAAAATTTTCTTTCTATCTGTTGGTTAATGATTAATAAAGTATATTTTAAATCGTAAAAATTTATGTAATTAAAACCATGTAAACCAAAATTAAAAGCCAAAATAACAGAACTAAACAAAATGAAGAAGAAAAAATACTCAGATAATAGAAAAATATGTAAAAAATACATTCAGACAATATACTAATTTTATGTTTGTAAGAGTTGAATGTAATTTTTTAAAGACATAGTTATATGAAAAAATATTACACTAAAAAACTTAACTGATCAAAAAGGATTTATTCAACAAGCTAAAAACCAAATAAATTGTATTTACAATTTAATACAAAATTTATTAATTTGCCAACAGTAAAACTGTTTACTTGCCAAACAGTTTTACTGTTGTGGTTGAAAAGGCTGTAGTTTTATTTCATTGATGTAATACTTAATTATTTAGTAAATGCTAAGCATTTAGTAAAATATCAAAGTATGCTCGAGTTAGTAGAAGTTCAATCTATTATGTATAGAATTGTATGTTTCCAAATGCTCTATGCATTTAGAAACATTCAATTCTATAACTAATATATATGGTCAAAAAATGATAAAATACAGTAGGCTGACTTCAAAGTATCAATAGTGATACATTCCTAGATAAAAGAATAAAAAATGTTTTATGACTTTTACAAAATGCTGTTGTGGCATGCTTGTATTGTCTGATATTTTGGATGCTTGGCATAGCTCAGTAAACTACACTGTAAAATATTTAGCTTTGTATAATACCAGTTATTGCAAGTTATGACGTTAAATATTTTATAACTCAATAAAAAATAAATGGGTTCCAGTTTTACTTCTTGTTTAACTGTTATTTACTGTCTCTTTATTCATGTAAAATAAGTTGAACACCTTTTTTGAACATGAGAAAATGAAAATGGAGACATTAAACTACTGAAAATGAAGTGTTTCCAAAATTTAATTTGAATAAGCTTATAATGAAGTATTTTTAATTTATTAATTGATTTTGGATAAAGACAATAATTACTGGTTAAAATAGGTTAATAGATTTTAAAAATCTGACTGGAGTTTATATCAAGCTTGGTGGTTTTGAGATTATACCCTGTTAATGGGTATAATTTTGATACTAACGCAATTTTCAAAAATTTAAAACTAATATTTTGATGTTTAAGTATCCTAATGAGGCTTAGTTGAATTCAAAATTATTCTATTTAAAATAAAATAAAAACAATCAGAAAAATGATTAAAATTTGTTTTTTTAAGATTTATCTTCTAACAGCTGGTCATTGTATATACAATGGATCTATTACAAATCTTTTGCCATACATGGAAACTCAAAACCTTATTTGTCCCAAATACCACAATCCAGCAGATTTTAGTAAGTTTTGATTTAAGCACAATCTATGCACACATTTTTATTTTATTTAATTATGTGATTTGTTTGTTAAACTTGTTAAATTATTTTTTTGAAACTAGTAATTGAAGTTGCATCAGGTGAATATGGAGACATTTTGCCTCAGCTTGTAAAGGGATGGAAGATCCAAGAAAAAAGAGAGGAGTTAAAACGAATGGAAAGTGAAGACTTTGGATTAAATGATAATGTTGATGCATTGCTTGCTCAACAGACTATGATGTCAATGTTACCTAGTTGTGGGTTTCGATCAAGCACAGATAGTCTTTCAAGTACTACTAGTCAGACGACACAGGTAAAGTTTGCTATTTAATTAGATAACCATTTAAAATAATTTATTTTAGTAACCAAAGAAAAAATTTTTTAAGTAGTGAAAATACTTTAATAATAAGCTTTTTTATTTTTAATTTATTTTATTATTTTTATTCATCATATTTCGTTTTCATAGTAATTAAAAGCCTAGTTGTTTAATAAATATAAGCTCTCTTCTTATGAAAAACATGTTATTAAATAGTAGTAACTTTTATTGACATATATGTTTCAATATTCCTAATATCACTGGTCAGCAAAAAGAAAAAAAAAAATTTTAAGGCAGCCCAGGAAACCCATCATGTTTTTTTCTTTTTAAATTTATTCCTAACAAGGCTGCAAGCAACTTTTCAATTCCAGTTGGGAGGGAACAATACACGGCTGCAAGAAACTACAATTTAACTACAGCAACAGCAGCTACAACTGAAAGAAACTACAATTTAAACTACAGAAACAACAACTGCAACAGAAAAAAAAGAAAATAATTAAAGAGGAATGAAAACAATTAGAAGAAAACTTAAATTGTCACGAACATGAAATAGGGAGACACTTCTATAAACATTGATTATTTTTTTGTTTATTTGTTTTTATTTTGAATGGTGTTGGAAACTAACATAATGTAAGACTAATTATGGGTCTCAGTTTAATCAATTCAATTATGGGTCTTTTTATAGGTCCATCTAAGTTTTAGGACTTGAATGGACCTATGAAAAAAATGACACAAAAATGGTATTTGGGTGGCACAAAAATGGTATTTGATGATTGTTAAAAAAAATAAATTTCAATAACAGCATGCAGTGTCTTAACAAACCTTTTTGAATCTTTTCTGTTTATTCAAAATTTTTTGAAATCACCAGGTAGCTTTTAAATAAAGAATGCTGCCAGTTTTAGTAAAACATAATTGATGCAGTTGATAGTTCAAGGGAAATGTTATTAAAAATAATTGATGTTGAAAGCACTGAACATTTATACTAGAAAAACTTTATTCTCCAAAGATTAGATTGTCAAATATCATTTTTCTAATTGTATTCAAATTGTTACTAGAATATTCTCTGGTAATAAAGACATTTTTTTTAAGCGCCTCAAAAAAATTGACTACTTGTTAGCAGGATGCTCAACAACTGTTTGGCTGGTTAGTACACATGGTTATACTCTTTCTATTATCCATTTGATGGTTGTAGAAGATCTGCTCTTCTCTCTTCAACTTTATATTTTTATTAAGGATATCAAACGGCATAAAAAAATCCATATTCGATTTTCTCTTCAAACATTTTATAGGCATTCACAACTTCATTCAATTTTTTTGTGATGCCAGCTCAGGATACTGATGGCATGCTAAATTTCACATTCCAGAGCTGCTCCAAATCTTTTGCTATTATTTGTATAACAGCTCTTGATGGTGGTACAGGGTGTGTGTCAATTAGATAGTGATAGTAGCCAAGAATGTGCCGGACTTCTGGAATCATCTTGAAATTATAGATAAGGATTTCGTCCGTAATCCATAAGATGCTGCTGAAGCAAGCAGTTCCCAAGATTCCTTTGAACACAGTGGTATTAAGTTGTTTGCTTTTCTCTTTAATGCTCCCTTAGCACTTATGTGGGACATATTTAGGTAAATATAATTATAACTAAAATAAAAAGTTGATTACAGTTACTTTATTTCCACTCCAGCTATAATAGTTAAGGTAGTTTTATATTCACTATTAACTATAGCTAATTTTAGTTAAGCTAGTTTTATATTCACTATTAACTTTAGCTAATTTTAGTTAAGCTAGTTTTATATTCACTATTAACTTTAGCTAATTTTAGTTAAGCTATTTTATATACACACTATTAACTTTAGCTAATTTTAGTTAAGCTAGCTTTATATTCACTATTAACTTATTAATAAAGTAATTATGTATTTCTTGTATATTTTAGTTCATAATCTTTATTTTTGTCTTGACAACTGTCAAAATATGCTTTGTCTAATAAATACTTCTCCTTTATTCTAATGTACTTCATTTCTTCCCTTGGGCGTTCACTGCTCGTGTGTGACCATTCGGCGAATTTTATATGCCAAAGTTTTTAAATAATAGTTAAGCTAGTTTTATATTATATTCACTATTAACTTTAGCTAATTTTAAAAATATCTTACAAATTATACAAATTTTTGCATAAGTGTTTTGTCTTGTTTCCATAAAGTAACTTTTTTTTTGACCTAGTAAAATTTTCAAATATTTAATTATTTTTTATATAGTTGCTCTTAGAATACAATTATTCATATTTTAGAAAAGGTTTGCATGGCAAACTAAAAAATAGAATCACACTACTGAGCATATATGTTATTTTAAATTTGCCTTTTTTTGTGAAAAATAGTTCTATCTGGCATTGGCAACAGCAGCTATAATATCTTTCTCTTTCTATTTTTGGCACTTCTGTCTTTTTTTTTTAAAACCACAAAAAGCATTTAAAAAAAATTAGAACATACAAAAATGCATTAAATTTTGAAATAAAATTTGAGTAGATTGCATGAAATTACCTTCAATAAATGGTGTAGAACTTTTTTTAAATCTTTTTTGAAAAAAATTCTTTTTTTTTTTTTCTTATTTTAAATCTATTCGGTAAATTAAGTGTAAAGTAATTTTAGCAATGCTAAGTGTACATCCTAATCAATCTGGATAAGCCAAATTGATTCGGATGTCTTACAATAAATTGTTATATTATCTGTTTCTTTGGGTTGACTTTGTCAACCCAGAGATTTCAGAGATGAAGTAGAGGAAACGTGTTTTTGTCTTACTTCTTGTAGAGGTATCTGGGTCATGTACTAAAGGGTGAATATCAAACTCATTTTTATTAATGACACAATTAAATGTTTAGAACCTGATTTCTAAGATAAAATTTAAGATTTTACCTTTTGCATTGGTTTCTTACAGTGAGAAAAAGATGTGTGTTTCTTATAGAGTTGTGAATTGCACAAGGAGATGTGACCATGGGTGAGACTTGAATTTGAAATGAAAGAATAAAAGCTTATAAGCTTGTCTAAATCTTGATTATGTAGGAGGAGAAGTTATCAGCTGAGAGATAAAAGACATCAGCTCTAGGACTACCACAAAGAAAATCAAAAAAAGAATCCCAGTCAGCTTCAGAAAAAAGAGTCAGCTTTAGACTATTAGTAAGTACTGCGATGATAAGGTCTAAAGAAGAAGTGCAAGATAAAAGATCTAGATTATTGCATTGTTTGAACCACTTAAAGGAGAACAAGGAGAAACTGAACACTTGTTAGGGTCAGATACAAATTAAGAAGTGAAAGTAAGTTATTAGGTTATCTTGAAAACAAACTACAAAGTTAGCATCTCAGTAAGAGATTTAGAAAGTCAAAAGTTTTTAGTTTTAGTGCCAGCAGGGTCAGTGTTACTAAAGTCAATCCATTCAGTGTGATGAGCATTAAAGTCAGCAATAACAACAATATTGACAGATGGATAAAGAAAAAGGGCTGGTCAATTTGACAGAAATAACATTGAAGCGCAGTCTTAAAAACAAGGAGCACAATAAAGAACAAAAAGCATATTTAAAAATGTTCAGAGGGTGAATTCATTTGTTGTGAAACCTGGTTTCACAACAAATAAATGAATTGGTTCATAAATATATGCCCAGGACAATCATGTTTGTAAAGGATAATAACCATCGGCAAATATATCAAAAAATATAACAGTTGAATTCAAATTAGGCAAATAATTCTGGAAAATTTTGCAAGAGATAAAATTAAACAAATATTTGTACAAGCAGATTGAAACAATTTGATGGTAACGAAGGTTTTAATGTTTGATATTTTTAGTCATGTTTTAAATTATTACAGAACAGAGTCAATTATAGATAATTAGTCCATTATATTTTCTTATCCTCTATGCTCAATCACCTTTTTGTTTGTTCTTTATCTCCTTTCTAAAATTTTTTTCAGTGTTATTTCTAATCAAATTGACCAAGAACGCTTTCTTTTTATTCATCATTGTTGTTGGTGAATTTAATGCTCATCACACCAAATGGTTTGGTTCTAGTACCACTGACCCTACTTTAACTCTAAACTGACCCTGCTGTTGTATTAAAGCTAAAAACCTTTGACTTTCTCAATTTTTTAAACAGACTTATTTTCCAGACAACCCTTATCACCTATTTTTACCCCTCTTATCTTGTCTCTATCCCTCAGTTTCTATTTTTATCTTTGCAATTTTACTACTAAAATAAAAAGACATAAAAAAGATCTGAAAAATTATTTGTAAAAGTGGAAAAACATAATAATGACAATGTAATACAACATAAATATATATTGATGCACCAGCAGTCATTTTGAAACATTAATTTAAAGTGAGTTTTGTGCTTTATACTTATTTTTAATTTAGGTGACACTATTTGTGGCCAAAACGAATTATTTATTTTGTTGATATTAATATCAATATGAAAAGTATATGTTCTTTATATATAATATTATTTCATATATAACTTTACACAGAATAAATAATAAATATCCATATATAACTTTATACATAGAATAAATACTGTTTTAGTAACTTCACCTAAAATAGTGAAATTAAAACCAATTCATGATCCTTAGTGGTCCTTTAGCAATCCTTGTGATTCTTAGTGGTCTAAATTAGTGTACTAAAATCAATATACATCAAATATACATTTACTTTTACATCAACGTGTAAAGCTGAAACACAGTAACTTGAAAAAATGATTTAATGTTTTAAACATTACAAACACAGTTTAATGCGAGAGCCACTGTCTTTTAGATTTTTTAAAAAAATTGTGCATAATTTGCGCCCAAGATTACAATTAATAAACAATTTTTCAAGTTGCTGTGTTTTGGTTTTTCACTGCATTATAGTTTGTTTGATGTTTTTCTGCTTTAAATGACTAGTTATTCTCATTGGCTACAACTTTAACATTGTGTATTTGTTAAAAAGTTATAATTTATTCCTAATATTTACTATATACTCTTAAAAACACAGTTTTGTTGTCAAATGATTATTGTTTTAATAATTACAAAGTTTTTTTTTTTTACAATTTTTCACTCAAAAAGCAATTAAAAACTTTTCAATGTTTTTTACATGAAATCGAGTGTATTTACTTAAAATATAATAATTAACTTTGAATAAATTATTAAAACAATATTTCCTCATAAAAAATTTCATCTTATTTTAGTTTACTGTATTAAGCAAGCGTGCAATGATATCGATTGTAAGAGATAAGATGTTTACACATTTGCGTTTGGTTTCTGTGTTAGTGGTTGCAGTT